TTGGGGGTCCATGGGATTTGGGGCTGCAGTGTATGAGGGTCCACAGCATTCAGGGGGGTCTGTAGGGTTTGGGGTTCCATCGGGTGGGGGGCTGCAGTGTTTGGGGGTCCATAAGGTTTGGGGCTGTGAGGCTGGAGGGTTTGGGGGTCCACAGGGGTTGGGGGTGCAGCATTTAGGGGTCTGTGGGGTTTCGTTGTGCAGGAGTTTGGCAGGCCACAGGGTTCCAGGTCCACAGCATTAGGATTCTGTGGGGTTTGGGGGAGGCCATAGTATGTGAGGCTGCAGTGTTTGCGGGGGGGATCCACAAGGTTTGGGGAGCTGAAGGGGTTGGGTGGCTGTGGGGTTTTGGGCTGCAGCAGTGAGGGTCCACAGGTTGGGAGTCCAAGGGGTTGGGGGGGGCTCCAGCGTTAGCTTGGACCCTCCCTGCCCACCCTCCCCTGCCCCCCCCATGCTACAGCCAGCAACAGTTCAGCTCCAGCCCCAAAACGAACCACTTTTTAGAAATAAGATTTTATTAACCCAAAAAAACTCATACAGAAGAACAGGGTGCCAGCCACACCCCAAGTTTAGCCCATTACTGCTGGGAGGGGGGGGGGTACCATCCCAACCCCCCCAAACCAAAAGGGGGGGGCTTGACACCCCCCCAAACCTGCCCTGAGCTCAGCTGGGGCCCAGGCATTCCACGATCCCGTTGCCTTTGATGCCGTCGAAGAAGAAGAAGTTGTTGTGGGGGGGGTCCCGCTGGGACAGGGCCTGGGCAGGGGGGAACACGGGATTTTTGGGGGGGCGGGGGGGAAAGCGTGTGCCATGCAGACCCCCCACCCTCCCCCAAGCATCACTACAGCCCCCCCAAAAAACCACAACCACTACCTTGACCACCTCCTGGCCCAGGACGCCTCCGACCACAGCGCAGACAGGAGCCATTTCGGAGAAGCAGTAGCTGGAAGGAAGAAAAAGAAATTCAACCGGCAAAACCTGGAAAAGTGGCGGTCTGCCCCCCAAAAAAAGCTTCTGGGTCTCACTAAAACGCTGAGTTTTCCCCCAAAAAGGAGCCGGAGGTGACAGGGACACAACGCCGGCACGCCCCCCTCGCATGCTTCGTGCCACCCTGCTAAAAATAAGCCCCTCAAAATGCCAGCCCTGTGTTGTCCATCCCCCCCTCCACAGCACATTCCCGCCATTCCCAGTGGGCAGCGTGTGGCAACATGCAAGCAGGGATGGGGAGTTCCCGGTGAATGTGCCAGGAACCCTCCCAGGGTTGACACTGGGGTTTGGCATCACCGCGAGGACACATCTGGTGGGGATGGCAGGGGGGATTTCTCTATACCAGCATGGTCCCCAGGTCCCAGCAGAGCCAGCTGGGATGGCTCAGGATCCCACCAGCGGAGTGAGCTGGAACCTGGCCTGGCGTCAAGCCCACGGCACCAAAGGCCTCAGGGAAGGCAGTGAACCTCCTCCACTGAGCCGTTAATCCCCAGTGAGGATGACCCAGAGGAAAAGCAAGGATATACGGGGCAGGCAGCGGCTCAGGTCACCGGCATCATCTTCCTGGTGAGATTCATGGTGAAACGGGTGTCGGGAGGTGCCAGAGCTTCTCTGGCACCCAGCGATCCAGTGCGAAAGGAGCGATTTATGGCTAATGAGGCCCTGGTGATGCCCTCAGCTTCCCACCGCACCTGACGAATTCATCCGGCAGCAGGTCAGTGCTGACCCCCAGTGACTCCAGGACATCGTGGCGGATCTGGAGCAACAGCTTTGAGTCCTCGGTGTAGTTTTGGGGGGAAGGATCCCGGCTGTTATCCGTACGAAACTTCAACAGCACTGGGAGCAGGGGGTGAGAGAGAGAGAGTCACCCCGTTGCTGGCTCCGGGGTGCCGGCATGCATCCAAGGGGCTGCTGGCAATTTGGGAGAAACGGAGGGGAGCACATGCCTGGTTCGGTGACCAGCTGAAGCCAAATTTCCCACTGCTGGCAGGGAAAAGCAGTGGGAATTAAAAGGCAGGGACTTACCTTGGAGGAGGAAATAATCTGGGGTGGTGCGTTTCAGTGCCGCCTTTGCCTTCTCCCCGCTCCAGTCGACGGCCAGGGCTTCCTTCAGCTGGCAGAAAACCACGCGCTGCGAGGGGAGAGTTCGTGGATCGGGGAGGGTCCTTTGCCACCAGGGGAGAAAAAACCCCCCCCCCCTTTCCCCCAGCAAAGCAACCCAGCACCAATTCCCCCAACCCCGTCTTGATGGCACGAGGCTCCTTCGATGGCATGAGGATCCCTTTTGAGATGAGGTCAGTAAGCAAATGGTGACACCAAGGGTGGGGAAACAAAAGGCACTTTCTCCTCCTCATCATCACGGGGAGGACAGCACGCCGCCACTCGTTTGCAGCGGACAGCTCTCGCCTGCGTCGTTTTCCCCCCCCGCATCGCCTCCCTGTTTAGCTCGGCAAGGGGAGCTAGGCACGGCGGCGGGGACGAGCACGGGAGCCAGGTCACGGCAGAAGAAAATAATCATCTTTTTTCACATAGGGACAGAAGGGAGACAGGAGGAGAGCAGGATAGCCCTCCTCTTCGCACAAGGACTTTAGTGTCCAGGCGCAAAACCCTTGGGATCGCGTCTCCACAAAGCTTAACCTGACAGGAGGATGTCTCAGCGAGCCGCTCTCTTAATTAAAACATTTTTAAGGTAATGCTAATAGCCCTCAGTGTCGCAGCTTAGGACAGGATGGGGTTTACTGAGCGTAAACTCCAGAGTCTTTGGAAAAACTGGCTCCAAACCTCAGAGGTATTAAACGAGGGAGTTTGAAACTCTTGCCGACATGAAGCCCGCCTGCTCCCATACGGATATGGGGAAAGGCTTGGCGGAGCCCCGGCCCTCTCTCGGCACGCGGGCTCTGGCATCTCAGAAACGGATCTGGAAGAATTCGCCGTATCCGAACGAGTTGCGCTCGGAATCACCCCCCTCCACCCCCCGCCTCCAAATCGCAGAAGGGTGACAGCTGGTTCGATCGGCATCCAGGGAATATTCCCAGACCTTCCGAGGGGAAGCTGCACCCTCTAAGCAATGGGGGGGGGGGGGGGGCAGCAAAAGGGACACAAAAGGGCGTTAATCTGCTGGCTCAGCTCGCATTCTCCTCATAGCCAGATAAAGTCGAGGGGGATTTCCACTCCTCCGTTAAATTTCCAGCTGGGAGACCAAAACAATGCCCAGGCCAGAGGCATTTAAATGTGAAAAGGTTTTGCTTTGGAGCAGATTTCGCTCCCCCCCCCTCATCCCCCCCCCAAAGACACGGAAAACCTTCAGGAGTCCCACTTAAAGGGAGCTCAGCTATCAGCTGACAGCAGCAACAATGCAGCTTTTATGGCCTTGCTGAGACACAAAAAGCCGGAGCCCCCCCAGTTAAGGCTGTTACAACTCCCCTTCCCCCATCAAAACCAGTATAAAAGTGCTTTATACCTGTACAGCCACAGAGGAAATAAAAAAGCAGTGAGGTGGGAGCACCCTGGGGGGGGGC